TGCTTTTCCGGAAAAACTTGCCAGCTGTCTACACTGGCTGCTTGAATTTCCGCAAAAGCACTGACTTCCTACTGTAAGAAATCAGTGCTTCTTGCAGAAATACTATGCTGCTCCCGTTCGGGGAAAAAGTCTCTTTTACGCAAAACTTTTGTGCAAAAGGGCCAGTGTAGACAGCTCGGATTTTTTTTGCGCAAAAAAGCCCCGATCGCGAAAATGGCGATGGGGGCTTTTTTGCGCAAATGTGCATCTAGATTGGCCACGGACGCTTTTCCGCAAAAAGTGCTTTTGCGGAAGAACGTCCGTGCCAATCTAGACGCTCTTTTCCGAAAATGCTTTTAACAGAAAACTTTTCCATTAAAAGCATTTCCGGAAAATCATGCTAGTCTAGACGTAACCACTGTATTGGAGAAATCCACAATTTAAAAGGCAGGAGGGCCAAATGAAAAATAGTATAGGGCTCCTGTGCCCGCACCAAGAGAGGACACATTCACCATCAGTCTTCCAAAAAGAAGTCAGCCTAGTTTAGGACTCAAATGTAGATGTTTAAAAAAAAAAACATTTCCCTGAATTGTAGAGTGAAACTGACCCACACAGCACTGATGCTTGGAAAGCAGAGATGAGCAATGACTTGCTGTTAGCAAAATGCACAGATTCCTGCGTTTGTTTTTGTTCAACTGGGCAGGGCGAACACAGAGGGTAGGTCTACACTGCCAGGTTTTTTGGGAAAAACGGCCGCTTTTCTGAAAAAAAGCTTCATTTACGTCCACACTGCAATCGTGCCCTTTCAAAAAAATCAAAAGAACGGAGGGTTTTTTTTCTGACATTGGTAACCCTCTTTCTACGAGGAAGAAGACTTTTGCTGAACGAGCTCTTTCGGAAAACAGTGTGTGTGGTGGGAAAGAAGGAGTTCTTTCTGAAGAAGAGGAAAGAGGAAAAAGCATGGGTGCCCTAGTGGCCACTCCACCCATAGCAATCACAGCTTACATGCGAGAGAGCGTCCATTCAGTGTGAATGCTCTCTTTTGAAAAAGCAGATTGCTTTTTCGACGCGCTTTGGCAGTGTGGACGCTCTCTTTCGGAAGAAGTTTTTTTGGAAGATCTCTTCTGGAAAAGCTTCTTCCGAAAGAAGCCTGCAGTCTAGACGTGGCATGAATGAAATGGCACAAAAGGGTCCTCCTCCCATGAAAGGAATGGTCTGTGTGGCACATGACCTAGCAGTGAAGCGGAGCTGGCCTAGTGTCGAGTCTCCTGAAACACAATAATGGCACTCAAGAAGCTTAGTAAAGAAAAAGCCGCCCCCCTGCTCCAGATTGTTGTGTGAGAGAAATGAAGGTAAAACAGTGGCCCTGGTGAAGTCAACAAGTGTTTTGCTGTTGACACGAATTGCGACCAGGAGAATCAGCGCCTGGCTGCTACTGTGATTTGAGCGAGTCAGGAGAAAAATTCTGATGGAAATTTTCTTCAACGGAATTTTCCAGTGCAAAAGTAAAAAAAGTTTTGCAGCAGCAGTTTAATGTTAATGTTTTGATAGAAGACGGCAGCTCTGTTCTTGCCAGCGTGGGTCTGTCTACGCCAGTGGTTCCCAACCTTTTTTATACTGCAGACCGGCAAACTCATTCAAAAACTTTTGGTGGATTGGTACAGAAACATCAGCATATTCATTGGGGCAATTAATGTATTTGCATATTCATTATGGTCATTTGTTTTACGCGGTCATGTGTTATTTTAAACTGCATCTGTATGCACACAATACATGTCATTGGAACGGATTTTTTGTTACTATTTGTCCCCCCTCAAAGTATTCGCTTTCCACCTTAAAAAAATCATACGTAACACATCGCTAGCGACCCAAAGTGTTTTATTAAAGTGGCCCAATAAAACAAGGCTGCCTCTGGAGAGACCCTTTTCTCTGACCCCTTCCCAGCCTAGCCACATCCTCACTCCTCATGTCCCCTTCCCTACTAACACACTCTTGTCTGGACTCGGAACAGGGAGCTTCTGCCACTAAGGAGTGCCTACCCCAGCCAGGAAACTCTGTGCGGGCGGGGCTCAATTAGCAGCTGTGCGGCCACATAGCTTACAGGGAACCCAGCCGAGCCAATCATCAAGCCATGGGAGCGTGGTCTCACAGTGTGCCGCAGCTCAGCAGCCAG